AAACCTGTGAAGGATCCCTGTAGCCGTGTCATTGTTATAGTACTGCTGTTAAGAAGGCCACGGTACTGTAACAGTAGGAAGAAGACAGTCTGCTCTGTCTTGAGAAAAAAGGCAGGGTTTTTATATCTTTTGGACTATTAGTAAATAATCTAATTAACGATTCAGTTAACAATCTAGTTAACGATCCTTTTAACAATCCAGTTAACAACCCATTTAATAACCTAGTTAACAATCTATTTAACAACTCATTTAATGTACTAGTTAATATATCTAATATTATACTAAAATTAATATTATTTTCAAAAATTTTACTATTAAACTAAAGCTAAAAATAAACATATAATAAATATAAATTATACTAAAATATACTAATAAAATCTTCTAAAATATGCTAATAAAATCTACTAATATAATAATAGATAATACTTTTAATATTTAGAAATATAAGTCTATAAACAACTTTGCTATTTAAGATAAATAAAGTTAAATATAGTATGAAACAATAACAAATTAATATAAAAATTTGAATATAAAATTAAATATACAAAATTTATTTGAACAATTAAATTTTATTTACAAAAAAATTAATTTGAAACTGGAATATTGAACAACAAGTAATATAAATTTTTTATTTCAGTTCTCAAAGCATTTTTTTAAAATACAGTATTAAATATACATACATACTGTATATTTTTCTGCTGATTTTTTTAAGTATTCTCTTCTGAATACAACACTCTATCAGGACTTTGAACAATCTACAAACAGCTAACAATTTACAAAAATTACTTAATATAGAAAGATCTGTAAAAAAAGGGCTAAAATAAACAAACTAATTACTAAAAATAGAAAAATTAATAAAAAATAATTTAAAATAAGCAAACTAAAATCTTATCTGTTTATAAATTGTTTGAGATCCTTTTCTATTCTCCACTTTTACTTTTAACCAAGTTACTTCTTTTTCTAACAATGCTACTTGTACTTTTAACATTTTTCTTCTAATTTAGCAATTCTGTTTTTGTTTATTTAGAATAAAAAGCAATACATTACTTTTTGTTTAGAACCTTTACTAATCTAACTGGATTTCAAAATATGAACTATTGTTTGTAGACTCTGAAATCACAATGTTTATATAGTTAAAATGACTAGGTAACATATCAAATGCGTACTCATGTCCAGAATCATTGTAAACAATAGTAACATAATCGTTGCCTATATGTCATTTTTTGAGACTACATTGTGGATCACGCTCTAAATTTGTTGGCATTAACGTAGCACAATAGAATATCACTTGTGTGATATCGTCCTCCCAATAGAATGCATATTCTCCGTCTGTGTCGTACTCAGTGTCGAGTCCTCCTGTGTAAACATGTTTACAGTCCTTTAATAGAATCAAAGTTCCCAAATTGTTCAAAAAATTGATATATCTTGAGACTATGTATATTAGATAAAATCTCTGTTTCATTGAACTGGTCTTTCCCAACATATAACACTCCTATTTTGTAAAAATCGACAACCGGAGTAAGATCCAACATCGATAATGCACGAGTTGTGGAATCATCGTCCGGTAACGGTTTAGGAGCTTCTTTAGATATGAGATCATGGTAGGGAGAAAATTGTAGGATCTACGTGAGGATCATCCTTACGATTAATGTTATTTTCTTCATTTAATAAATTTGGTGTGAAAATTTCTTTTAAAATATGTTGCTGTTAAGTTGAAAAGGTCATAAGAGACGCCTTATTACCATCGAGAGATGATTCTGGTTGCGTTTCATTAACGTGACTTTGATAAATATGATCTTCTAACGATTCTGTTTGTGGTGAAATTTTTTGATCAGAATCCTCGTTTTTGGTTTGATTGTAATTTCAATTTTTAAATTATTTTGCTGAGTTTCCACAACAAAAGATTTTCACCAGACACAATATGAACATTTGATATTTCTTGTTTGATTCTAATAATGACAAATAATTTTATTTTATGATTTGATGGAGATTTTAACAATTTAACTTCATTTGATAATTGGTTCATACCTTTAATGCAAAAGAAAATACGACAATTCAATAAGCTTCAGTCAATCTGTATTAAGTAATAACGTAATCTGTTTTATGTAAGAAGTCTAATATAACTTTGCCTGTATCTGACAACCTTGTATTAGATGTGACAGATTTTACCTGTTCTGGGGTATATGTATCCACAACAATGTTAATCGGAAACTATATGATTATGGTCTTTGGATACTATGCTTTATTTATCTAATGATTCCGAGTAAATCTATATTTAAACTATATAGTAGGTGGTAAATTATTTCACACACTATTTCACCGGCATCTTTATGCGAAAACAATTTACTAGTCTAAATTTTGGAATAAACGCTATTTTTGTAAAGCAAAAAATTTTTTGATAAATGATGTTGAAGCTACTTGAATTTTATTGAATTGATCTTGTTGATTAAGTAAAATTTTTTATTCAGATTAACCCGGGTGATACGCGGTTAGTCAACAGTTAATATAGTAATTTGAACTAGAGCCGGATCAAGAACTATACATTGTGGGTATTACTAAGTTCTAGCGCTTTTAACCTTAGGAGTTGCATGTTTCTTGATTCTTTTTGGTGTTTGTATATTGTGAATATTACTAATTTCCAGCGCTCTTGTTTTTTTTAACTTTAGGGGTCGCATGCTCTTCGATTCGTTGTGATATCATCACGTTTTCTGTAGAATGTTTATTTTTCTCAGAAGCTTTTTTCATCAAAATAAAGGTTCTTATAGTATGCTTAAAAATCTTCTGTATAAATGAATAAATAATAAATAAATAACATAATGAATAATAGTATTAAAATAAATTTGTTAGTCTACCTTAACGTTCAGTATCACCCGTACAATTTTTGCAAATTTTCCCAATTAATCGAATTGTGTGAGTACATCAAATTCTGCTAATACTTTAGATCCATAATATTTATCTCCGATATATACAATTAGTACAATCCGAATAAAAAACCGTGAGGTGATAAATCCAGGCAAAACCAATTGTCTAAAAGCTTTTGAAACTTTGGCAAGAACCGCACCACCACCTGCTTGAGATAATGTTTCTAAAAGGGTTTGATGCATATCCCGTAGCGTCTTTTGTATCTTGAGTATAGAGTTAACATCTCATTATGTTTTATATCCAGATTGACCCGAATAAAAAATAAATCTGGATTTAAATTACTATGTTTTAGACAAAATAACTAGTCCGGATATAAATATATCCGAATTGAAGTATTAACTCTACTTGAGTGTATTATCGAGTTTTTTTTTTCATTTTCGATCTTAGACCCGGCTTTTTCACACAGTGAAAATTCTTGTCCCCAGGTAAGATCTTTTGCAAGATCATGTTTTTTAAACAAAAATAGTTAGTATTATTAAAATTTATTCATGATAATTAATTATAGAATTAATCATTTTGTAACCGTAAGTTACTGTAATCCGTAACTAAGATCAGGTGTAACGTGACTATCAAAACAACTTTTCTATAAGAATAAACCCGTGCAATTAAGGTTAGGGTTAGTGTGAGGCTAGGGTTTAGAAAATGTTATCCCTTAAACTGTATTCCAGGCAAATTTGCCTGGAAAATTTAATTG